TGAAGAGTTAGGTGTTTGTCGCTCACCTCCACAAGGATATGGAAGCCCAAATGTTTGGTGGTCTGACATTGATTATAGTGGATTATCGTTTAGTCATTTCATTTACATAGCATTTTACAAGTGTTTTGAAAAAGGCTTAGTATTCTCTCTGCAAAATACAGGAGCCAGAAGAAAGGTTTCAGGCGTTGTAATCTTGCCTTTAAAAGTGATCTGAGCAATTGTACCATGTAAGTCTGGAGTTACGTTTGTACGTTTGAAGTTTGTACCTGATCAACAAGTAAAACCCAGAGCTTAGCTTTCAGAGCTAGCATGACGAAACAGGATGGCAAAGCCACGGGTGATGTGTCTGTACAGCACAGTGCCTTCAGCCTCTGGAGCAGCACAGCAGAGCGTCCTGCAAGCTGTGCCAGCCTCAGCAGTGCTGCCCTGGTACGGCCTGCTCATCCAAGGGTGCTAAAAGTCATGGCCTCTGCACCACCTGTGCCGTTTGCTGTGGCGGTAGGAGGGCATTGAAGCACTTTTAGATGCTTTGTCTACCCTTGGAAATGGGGTGATGTTGCCAGCAGTCATGGCAGTTTCTGTAAAGCTGTTTGTTTGAAGGCTGGAATTTGCCTGAGTCCACCCGTCCACCCCCCCCCGTAAATGGGTAAATGTTTATCTACAGTAGAGTCCTCAGGAGAAATATCAGTAGGCTGTGTGTTGGTCTGTCTGATTTCTGAAAGGATGGTTTTGACGTGAAGAAACAATCATCTTTCAAGGAAATGAAACTGAAATGACACACAGAAGTTGCTGGATTATTAGGAGTTTACATGTGCTGCTGAAGACTCAGGGAATGTTTGGCTTGGTGATGCAGCAGCCTTTGTTACATTAGGGCTGAAGGACTCTGGTAGGTTTTCAAGTGTTGGGTTTACTCTGCAGGTGAATGGTTCATGGGCAAACACCCTTTTGGGGCTGGTGTAAGCATTTGGGAAAAACAGCTGTAGAAATGTTTGTGACAGAAGATAGAGGGTTCAAGGGCACTGCTTGGTTGGCTGCTGCCTTGCTTCAGAGAAGCACTGGTTTTGCAAAGGGGGTTGGGAAGCTGTTCTGTGGCACGTGTGGGTGCAGTGAATGTTTTGTGGAAGCTTCTGGACTAAACAGCAATTATGTGGTTGCATGCAGTTGTTGGGAATTGAGCTCAGTAACCTGGGTGGTCTCTTCCCGTTCTGCGAGTGGTGCAGGCTCAGTGCATAGTTTTTGCTTACTACTGGTATGAATCTTAAAGCTTGGCTTAAACGTTTCACCTTTTTTATGCTGACATGTGGAACTCTCTTTGCTTACGGGCGTAGTGATCCTAGCCAATTTGTGCCATTAAACTACCTGTGGTACTGTCAGTCTTGATGAACCTGCCTTTACTTCTGACCTGTTGGAACTGACAGATGTACTTCGGTTTCAGAATACGTTCTTCATGAGATGGGAGTTGGATCAGATGCATTGTGTATGCACCTGAGTGTCTTAAGTGTATGTCAAAATAAAGTCAAGTGAAAAATACCAATATTTCCATGACTCCGAAGATTGAGAATTACAAAGAAAAGTAACATTTCTGGCACTCAAATCTCAGATGAGGAAAGGAAAGAGAATGAGACAAGTAATTTTAATGAAAAGCTTGATAGTTTTTCCATTTTGCTTTTTTTCAGTATAAAAATACCTCCTTATTTTTAGGTAAGGATGTCCCATGAAGAATAAGTTACTATGGTTGGTTGTTTATTTTTCCTTGAAGATTACAAAAGCATTACTTGAATTCACAGTATTCTTTAAACATGCTGGGGAAATGTATGTCTGTGGTTGAACAGGGAAAGACAGCACCTTCCATCTGCACCTAACCATCACTATCTATAATCCATGTTTATTTTTAATGCAGTTCTTGTGTGACTTTGAGGTCACCATCACCTGATAGAAACTGATAGTCTTTGAGGCAGAGGCACTATGATACCCTTAAGAGCAGCAGCATTTCCATCTGTGTGGTTGTAATTCTTACTGGCTGTTCTAGTGTTATCTCTGGAATGTCTGTTCTGAACTGTGGAGATGAACATCTGGTGGGAACAGTTTAAAATTATTTTAGAAGCTGGAAAAAGGTGTTTATTACTTCTAATGACAAAAATTCTAGGGGATTAATCTTATGAGGTTTGAGACTTGCTCTAAGAAGCCCAGTGCTGCTTTTCTATTTGTAATTTAGCTCCCTGTAAACTCAGGTTAGGTTCAAAGATGGGAAAATAAGATGTCTGGATTATAACTCCTTTTTTCACGTGCCTCTATAAAGGAATCTCACAGAAGCTTCATCAAAAGTGGTATTTCTTTTAATGTTACTTTTGAGAGCACAGGCTTTTCAGTGTGGCCAACTTCAGAAACCTGACTAGAGTGGACAAGGAAATTAACTGCTTTATCTAATACTCTATGCTCCAGGAAAGTGGCTTCTGTTCTGGCTTCTCTTATTTCCTGAAGAACTGTGGAGAGTGCTTGAATTGGGAGGTGTGAATACCACTCTTTCCTTTAAACAACAGCAACAACAGAAATGTTTAGTTTGTTTATTAAAGACACATGGTAGGAGTAGAAGCTTCTGGGTCTTTCCTTACTTTGTGAATATGCAGAAAATACAGCTCAGAGACGATGAACTCAAAATACACTTATCTGAAAAGATGTGGAAGAGCAGAATTTTGAATTTTCTCGTTCACTGCAAGCTTATGAGTGTGTCTCAGTGTATATACGCTATGCTATTTTGCTTTGTGGTCCATAGTACTTTTCAGGCTATGTGGGAATGAACCAAGGAGTGAGAATTTTGATGGGGTATATACAAGCTACATTTCTGAGACAACTTATTTTTTCTTTATTTTCTTCCATATCCTTTTTACTTTGTTTATGGGAGATATTTCCATTCTAAGCAAGAATGTTCTACATTTCTATTGTCAGTATTTCTTTCAATTACAGGAAAAGTATGTGAACTGCTAGAAAAAGTACCTTACAGAATAGGTATTTATTTATCCCCCGGATGTGGCCTTGTAGCAGCTAATTGATTTTTCAATTCTGTCTTCGCCTGTTTTGCATCTGAACATTCGCGTTCTGTTGTTATAAGTGACCGTATCAGAACTTGGCTCTGGATCTACTACATTTATATCAGATCTGTATTCAGATGATTTTGATGGTGCAGGCTGGTCTGTGTATTTATTCATTGGCAGCGTTTCTGCCTGCCATACACACTAAGTTCTGGTCTGCTTTAAAGCAATTCTTTTGGAGAGCGTTCTTGTAGCACTGTAAGAGGTTGTCATTTATGATTCTTTATTCTCTGGCATCAGACATTATATGTGAACTTTTACTCTATGAAGTGGTGACAGAAGGTCTCAGTGAAGTGAGCCATTTGGTTTTTTTTACCTTTAGTGAGCAAAAATTTGCAGCTCAGAACTGTTAAGTGTTTTAAAAGACAGCCATATTAAATCCCACTCTGGAAAGCTGCTCTGGGAGGGAGGCATCCCCCCACCTCTGTTTGCATGTATAATATGAGAAAGGAGGCAGTCTTGCTATGCTTGGGCTCTTAGAACTGTATTAAGTTCACTGGCAGTAAAAAATAGTCACCAGTTCAGTTGCTTGTGATTTGCTACTGGTGATAAAACTAATTCTCTCAAAAAAAGAAATAAGCATTTTTTATGTGAATCACTGTTGGAAGAGAAGGTATTTTTTGGAAGTAGTGTCAGGCCTTGGTTAGGCTTTTCGGTTTCTTTATTTTGGGAATTAGTCATATAAAAGTTGAAAGCGTTATGAGTTTACTACAGTGAGATGTGTTCTCAGGGAACAAAGATGAAGTAGTTAACTGTGCACTGAAGGGTCAGTGAAAAGAGATTTGTTGAAAGGTTTCTAGGAAATCCCAACTCACATGGAGTTAGATATGCTGTACCTGCCTAGAAGCGAAAAAGCATTTTGGCATCTGATATCCAAATCTGCACCCCGGAGGTATGTACAAGGGCTTTGCTGCTAGCAGGACAGCCGGACCTTGTTGATATCACGATTGATATATGGTAAGCAAAGACTCAGGAGATTTGATGTGCATCTAGAGTCCTTGTCAGTTTAGCTTACAGTGGATATGCCTTTCTGCACTTGTCTTGTCATGTTTTTTCTGCTCTTCAACTTACACTTTTTAATAGCTTTTTGCATGTAAATGCTGACTAGCTATTTACAGTTTACTTAATTTTTCTGGATTTGGTTTCATTCCACAGAGAATACATGCAGAAATACCAACACCCTGTGAATAGCAGTTAAAAAGCTACGGAACTTTTTGCTTTTATGTTGCTGGTTCATGTTCGGTTGAACTCTGGCAGTTTCGAGGAGCTTCTGTGTCACCAATTGGTGGTCTGATTCCTGAAAAACAGTTAGTGTTAGGCATGGCACTTGAAATGTGCCCGCAGGAGGAAGTAACTCTCTTACCTTAGAGGGTAGTGCCTTCCAGGGCATAGATGATGCATGTTATTTAATCTGGGAAAACTTGGCTTGCTACTGCTGATGTTTCTTTTTTTAATATGTAAGTGGATGAGTTTAATCTTTGATTTTGTAAATCTGGCACTTCAAACAGGAATAAAATGGTTCCAAAAACATATTAGCCAAAGTAAATATTTACAAGCAGTAAAAATGTTACTGTATTGCAAATCTAGTGTCAGAATGGGCAGGGAAAGTTAAAAGCACACTGACTGCAGATATTTAGTTTTTTTAAGACCTCTCAGAACAAAATAGGCTTTTGTTTTGGGATGGAAGTGTTGGTGGGTTTGTCACTGATACTTTCCAATTTTGTTCACCTGCTGGTATGATGATTGCCTAATTAAGCATCCTTGAGATATTCACTGCTCATCTTTCAGATGCTGTTTAAAGTTGTTTATTTTCCTTTGTGTGCTGTAAATCTTCAAATGCCATCAGAAACACAACTTGATGACTCTCTATTATTATTATCTTGGGTTAAGTGCTGTCTCATTGCTTTGCAGGCTGCCTGCTGTTTCCCGTGGAGATCATGAAACGACGTCGGCTTCCTAGCAGCAGTGAGGATTCTGACGACAATGGCAGTAAGTGCTCCTTTCTTGTAGAGTGCAGTAGGTTATGAGTTTGAAAACACGTTTTAATGCGGTGTTTTATGTGACAGAGGCATTTTGCATATTGGTTGGACTAGTAGAAATGTGCATTATAAGGATCGAGTTTTGAACTCGGTCGTTCTGAGCACAGGTGGACAGTAGATTCGGGATTTCCCCCCCCTCCCTGTATTGGCTATACAGTGTTAGTTAATAAGATCAAACAAGAGAAAAAGTCGATTGTGTTCTTTAAAAATCTTTGCAAGCAGCATAATTTACCAGTACAAGGACAGGACTTGCATGGAGACATCTGCTAACATTGTCTGCAGCTTAGTACTTAATAGAAGTTTACGATAGGATTTTAAATTTGCCACAGTGTTCTCATACTCTTACGCAATGAAAAGGTATATTGCTTCAAACTTAAGAAGAAAATATTGATGGTGCATAAAAGTTATTCCTTACTTCATTTGAAGGTTATCTTGTTTGAGGAGTAGCTTTCAAGAATTTGAATTCAGGATATCAGTAATTTGGGTACAGAATGTATTTATTTTTTGTAACTGTGTCTGTACTGACATATCTAACACTAAGGTCTTTGTGGTGTATATCTCTCTTGTGTTTGGATTCCAGGGATTGATAACCTTTCATTTAAGGAAAAAAAAAAAAAAGGGGGGGGGGGAGGGCATAAAAAGGCAGTTTAGAAAATGTGCCAAGGTGTTTTCTTTGCGCAAACAAGCAAGTTGATGGTACTTGACAATATTGCAGTTTAGTCAGTTGTCAGAGAGATTTTCTGGGTTTTAATTTGATCTGTCTGGGTGCACATTTTCAAATCTGAAGTCTTTTGTGAGACTCCAGTCTGAAATGCAACAGAAAATAACCAGGGAGGTTTTCCAGGTGCTTTTCAAAGCTTTACTCTGAGAATGTAGCTCTGTGCTGCACTGTGGCCCTACATAGGTGACTTCTTCATCTGCTTTCATGTCTGTGCTGCATGGGAGTCTGCTCAGGTATGGCCAAATCTGCACCTTAAAACAACCCTAGGCAAACTGCTGCTGAAATGAAGGAGGGGTAAAAGGACTGGAGGAGGTGAGAACTAGTGAGCTGATAAGGAGTGAGTCCAAATAAGGATCAAGTAAAATGCATTAAAGAGGTGTGGGATTTGGCTTGTTTTTGGCAGAACTTGCAGTTGGGGGATTTTGGAAGAAAAAAAAAAAAATCCCGAATCAGACCTGTTTCTTATCGGTTAGAAGTTTACTTGGGGTTATAGAAATTGAAGTCTGTGTATTTCCTCAAAGGTGACGTGTACTTCCCCAAAACAAAGATGTGTTTTTACTTGTGAGATAGACAAGTAGCAGCAAATGTGATGTCTTTCGTTAGAATTTTGTTTTACCCTTTTTTCATTCCCTAGCAGCTTTATATAATAGGGTTTCATTTTGATGTGTTTATTTTCACTTACCTGTTTTGTTGTTTTGTTTTCTTTTTTTTTTTTTTTTTTTTACCCTTTGATCCCTTCATGTGCCTTGTGGTACAGGCTTTACCAAATAAAATATGAAGCAGATAATATTGGAATTGAAGTTCTGAAATAGATACAGTTGACTGATCTGTTGCTGATTGTAATGCTTGTTTGTAATGTCATTTGGTATATAACTATAATAGAGATGTTGACTTAATGAGTTACGTTTTCCAAAACACTGTATTTTCATCTGTTCCATAGATCAAGATCTAAGAAAATGAGTTAGGAAAAGACAAACAAACCCTTGCCCTTCTATGATCTCTCGATTTTAAAGCCTCATTAATATGAATAGCTATTTGTTGAATACATTACATGGAAAAAGGCAGTGAAATTTTGAAATTATTTTCAGGTATTATTTGAATAATACACCATTTTCCTTTCATTACACTTTTTTTTTTTTCCTTGGCCTGATTATGTTTTTTTTCCCTTGTGAAGTTACGGAGCGAATTCAAATACAGGTTCCTACATACTCATTCTATTATTATACATGTGTTCAAAAAAATCAAGGGTTAAGAGTCAGAAGCTGAGATAACATTTAATGTAGGGTCAGCATCTCCAAGGTTTTTTATCATTCACACTTCCCTGAGAACAATGTCTGACACTTGGGCCCTTTCTTTTCAGTTTTCCTATTACAGGGGATACCAGTAGTTCCTTGCAACTATGTTTGAATGTCAGGGGTCTCCCCTTTCAGGTTTCACCTTCATTTAATCTTTTCTTGTCTTTAGTAGAATTACCGATTACTCTTAATATGTTATTTTTGGTATTATTACTTTGTCAGTAGTATCTCTGATTCACTGTACTGATACATATTAAAAGGTTAAAAAAACGCATTGCCTAAAAAAAAAAAAGGTAAAATTTCTGTGAACTTCTGAGCTATGTCTTGAAGGCTTTGTTTTTCACTAGTTATTTTTCCTTCTTAGAGTTTCCAGAGGCAGAAAACAATTAAATAGACTACTCTGAGCACTTCAAACAGCTGTTTTCTAATTGAGAAGTTGAAATTTTAATCAGTACTTCATTAGAATCCTGTTGCCAAAGATCTTCTCCCCTTCAGTCAGTGGCTCCTCTTGACCCCAAGTGCCCTTCTTGCATTCTCATCATACTGAGCTGCATAGTCATTCAGCTTAGAGCTCAACACTGCCTTCCCTCATCTCACAAGGTGAGGACTGGGCCTCCAACTCTTGGGTTCCTTCAGTTCTGCAGTTGAGTTTTGCTACTGTGCCTTAGTAGGCAGTGTGGTCAGACAGCTCAGATTCATCATGAGCATCATGGGATCAGTGTTGTTGGTGTAACCTGCATGATGATGCTTGTCTGGGGTAGACTCTAGTGTGTAGGCTAATGCCCACCTGGAAGATACTTTGGTGTGAAGAAATACAGATTTTGTTTTACTGAACTCAGGAACCTGAATATTTATAAAATAATAATAGCGATGCTACCAATAATGGAATTTATCTAAACAAATTAATGAACATACAGAGATTGTTTTCCATGAGATCACTGAGCCGAATCAGTTTCCTTGGTAGTCATAAGGTGATAGAAAAACAAACCTCGCACCCCAAGCACTGCAAATATATTATACTGAAGATACAAGCATATCTGTAGCTCTTCAGAGGGAGAAGGTGCTCTTTTGTGAGATAAAAAAAGGGAGAATTGTTTTCATTTAGGAGTGAAATACAGAACAGAAGAACGCTTAAAAACATAGCTGCAGTCCTAGAGTACATACATGTATTTACTGACTCATGTAAGATATTTTAGTGTGGGTGGTTTTATATTATTTGCAGTATTTTAAAGCCTTGAAGCTTAAGGACAGAACCTTTGCTTTTCTTATCACTTTTTTTTTTTCTCTCTGACTTGAGTCTTTCCCAAGAGCTAAGTGCAGACTTCAAGCCCCAAAAAGTGTTTATGTCCTTCAGCCTAACTACTGAAAATTGTTGAGCTGTGTCCCCTTAAAATCAGAGTTCTAAATCCTCATTTAGACATGAAGCCAAAATAGCATATTTGAAGCACTAAGCAAGAGGTGTCAGTGGAAGTTGTGCACAGCAGTTCTGCAGTTAGTCCCTGTATATCCGAGTGTGTTCGCAGAGATTTCATTTTCTGAAATTATAGGTCACTTTTGAACATTTTATCCATGAAATATAATTGAATGAAAAATGGCTGCAGGCATAGTTCTGGATTTTGAACTTTTGTCTAAATACAGAGGAATGGTATTGGGAGAGGCTCGGGGAAGGGTTTAAGATTATTGGCACCTCAAAGTAATCCTTTTTTTGTCATCTGGCAGCTTGTTAAGTTTCTGTCCCTTTCCAGATAATGTATTCCAGCAACTATAACAGATGTTAATATTAGCCAGGCCCATCATAAAAGCCGTGTGATGTACATGCCATCTTCTTCAAAACCTATATTAAGTAAATTAGTAATGTTTACCTCAAACTCAATTATGTCCTTGTTTTCTGCATGGCTGGCTAGGGCTTTGATAGTTTTTAAAGCAATTTTGGTACATTGTATTTCAGCTTGCTCCTCCATTGCAAAACTCCTTCTCTCCATGATTTCAGGTCTTACTCTAATTAAATGTTAGATACTGAAGGTGTTTTATCTTTCTTGCCCAGTGTTTGACGTGACTTTTTAGCCTCATTGGCCTGTAAATTTGCAAAGGTGGTTTGTGCTGAATATTCCATGTGCTTTGTTTCCTGGTGAGATAAAGTTGTGCAGTGGAGTAGTTTCCATTTATAGCTTCAGGGCATTCCTTTTGCACAAATTGCTTGGACACGTGAACAGATTGTGTTTGAGGCAAGATCTGAGGCTCAGACAGTTGTATTGTAGGGAGCTTGGGTGAGATCCAGGCCCTCCTTGATGTCAGAGAGAGTTTGGTCGCTGTTTGCCATGAGCGAGGAATTCAGAGCATGATTTCCTTCACACTTTACTTGCTCCCACGATGCCTCTTCGTTTATTCTTGGAGGGGTTATCAATTCATCATACTCCTACATACAGAGTGTCTGAGAGAAGAACTGAAGACACTGGCAGCTGAAAAATACTTCTAAGATTCACAAGGTTTCACACCAGTTCCGAGAAATGAAAGGTTTAATACTTACGGATTACAGAATACAGTTTTGTAATTTAGATGGACCCTTATTCTATCATTGCTAAACAAATGTTATTTTAAAGTTAAACATATTTTGCCAATATCCGTTGCTCTGACTGAATGATGGGGATCTTAGATTTAGAAAGGGCTTTTCATCCCAGTGGATTCCCGTTGTGTTTGAGATAGATCCCAGAGTGCCTTCACAAAGGTTGCTGAGTACATAACCTTAGGTGTGTATGTCATTTACCACAGAACTGTAGCCGCTGCTGGCCTGAAATGCGGCAATTACTTAGCAGCGCGTGTAATACTGTGCAGCATTTTGTGAAAAGGAAATGATGAACATTTTTCGGTCTTCAGTTGAACTGGTTGTCAGGTGATGATGATTAAACGACAGAATGTAATGTAGTTACAGTGCTA